TTTAACTTGGGTGAAGTGATTCAGCGACCACAACATTGCGGTAGGTCCACAGCTAATATATAATTGATTTTTTCCAAAATGTTATTTCTTTTGAAGAAACTTCATTTTATTACCTGCAAGTAAAAACACAGAAGTTATTGTCTTTGCCTGTCAAACTGCTTAAATAAAACAGACAACCACTAATTAGAAAGGGTGAGCTGAGAAAGGGAGCTAAAGCATACCCATCAGCTGTAGAAAGCAGGTTTCACAGGACTCCAGTTTCAGATCACATGACCCAAGGCGAGCCCTGTTAGGTCATTTGACCTGCCACACCTAATTATTATGGGCTGAGAAAATCAGCAAAGTCTTTTTTTTTTGTACAAAAAACTGCTGTTTTCAATGAGCCAGTGACGCCAGTCCAAATAAATTAAAACACTGCATGACCTGCTTTCTACAGCCCATAGGTACATTTCCACTGTACATGCTGCTTTCCACACTTTACAGCTTTGCATTGCTTATATGCAAAACAGTAAAAAATGCAAATAAGTAAATAGAACTTTAAAAACTCTCATAATTTGCTCTGATTTGTAGGCTCACAGCGTGTATAAATTACCAGTACCTATTCATATGGCCAGCACAAACCAGTGTAGTTGCTCTAGATAAAAGATGTAGAGGCAACTTTTTGGATCTGACAAGTCATTTTGCAAGTGTCTTAAAATATCATAAATGGAACTTGCTAAATTTCTGGAATAATAGAGAATATACATTTCTTAAATTCCGACTTCTGCAAATCTGCAAACTTCTGTATTATTAGCAATGACAGTACAGAGGCATGCATACAATATTATCAGTGAGGAGTGAGTGTGGTAATAAACTTTTATAGTCAACGTATTTCTCCCACTCGAAAGCTAGATTTGTGATTGTCATTCTAATGTCTGAATCTGCTGACAATTTAGGTCTCTTGTCTACCTGTTTTTGGTAATGATTGTTTTCAATATTTGTTAACATGGTATTCAGAGGGTGGGAGATATAGCTGAGTAGCTATGTTTTCCAAAAGGCACACAACCGATGACTTGAGTTCATGATTAAAATATAATTATTTTATATTTTGCTTAGTCAGGAAAATATTACATATTTTACATAAATATCTTTCATTTATCCCTTTCGGTCAGTACCTAGTGTGAGTCAGATTTTCCAAGGATGTATATTGGCGATATACTGCTCTGCTGAGAATACAGATCAGAATAGTAGAATCTCAGGTTGTCCACACATGCCGAATGAGTCATCTGAATGACTCAGAGGAAAGACACATCACTCCTGTCTAGAACATGTGCAGAGCTACTGCTGTGCTCTGTTATTAGAAATCCCATCATGCTCTGCACACCCAAAAACAGGGGAGCACCCTGTTTTAAATGTTTATTGTAACAATAAAATTAAACTGATCGAGATTTCCTTTCAAATCAAACTTACTTAAGCCTTTCAGAAATTTGTTGACTCCACTGGGCTCTGTCTCGGGAAGTGTCTTTAGGTATTCACAGGCTCGTACCTCAAAAAGTCCTGATTTGGAAACACATAAAAACATAAATTAAATATAAAGTCATATATTTATACATCATTATAAAGAAAGTTACTGGATCATAAAACTGTAAAAAAAATACTCCATAAACTCCATCGAGTAACCTTAGAGAACCTAAGCCCTTGAATCCATTCCTTTGCCAAAAGTTGAGGGTTGAGGTAGGGATATACCTGATCATGTTTTAGAACCTTGCCAGGACTGAGGTTAAATTTTGTTTCAAAAGGTTTTTTTTTAGTGGTAAAAACAGGAAAATAATCTCCACCTGTCCAATGATTACCACTCAAACCAAAAAAAATAGGTAGTAAGAGTTAGGATGTAAAAATGTATTCACATGTAAGTGTTGAACATATGGTAGTTATAAAGTGAACTCTGTGAGCACATGCCTACACAAAAGTTTTTACTATTGCATTTTTAGTGAGAAAAAAAAAAAAAAAAAAAAAAAAGGTCCATAGCAGCTCTCACTTTCTGCCCTACTAAAAAAATAAATGTTCAATTCAGTTGATCAGTCAAACTGTCAAAGCAAACATCTTGGTCCAGTAAGGCGATCACTGCTTTGCTTGATGACCTGTATAAGGTGCTCTTAGGAGACCCTTTGCTGACATTTTGGCAGATTGCTTCTTGACTATATTTCTTAATTATACATCAGCATTCATCATGGATAGCAATTGTCTTTTTGGTAAAACATGCTCTTCTTCACATGGAAGCTATTGCATGAAACAAACAATTATATAGCATTAACTTAATTCATTAGCTCTTATTATGAGCAGTATTCTAATTCTGACTTTGGATGTTACCTGAGCTAATATTTCTTCTAAGTAATACAAGGCAAGTCCCTTTGTGCAAGATGCCTATTTTACTATGAAAATGAAGAGCAACTGAAAAAGAACTACCCTTTTAAATTTCTATGTAAAGCTCTTTAGTTATATCTTCTTTTAATATGTAAGTTAATGCTACATTTTAGGTGCATGGTCAGCTGAACTAAAGCTACAAGACACTAAAGGCATTCTCCTTTACCTTTAACAACGCTTTTTCGTAACTCCCGATCCTGTGTGAATCCAGCAAACATCTGGGTTTCCATAAAGAGATCAAGGAATTGGCGTACGCTTCTGGAAGTGTGCGACTTGCGAAAAGGCTCTCTTTGGAAGTTACGCTCTCCCCCTTTTCATTCACATACATGTGTAGAGAGTAATGTCCAACAATCTCCACAAAGAACCACACAAAGGCTTCTGATACCAGGGTGTTCAGAGAGACTTCTTCTGGGGGAGAACAAAACATAGTAAGTATATGTGACTCTTGTTGGGATAAAGTGAGTGTCATTGTCTTATCACTATAAGATTGATTGCAGTGATATGACAATCTATTTACTATAATATAATTTGGTGATGATACGATTAATGGGTGTCAACTCTAATAAGCATAAAGCAGCAGCAGTATAATAATTACATTTAATGAGATATCCTAGAAAACATGGGTTTGGGACTTGTTATCCATATACACTGTTTAAAATTTTTAAATTGTCCCAAATGTATGAAATGCTACTGTAGCGCCTTTCTAGGTAGCTAGGAGGAGCTAGACTCCAATGGTTAGATAGAGGCTGAGCAGCAGCCCAGGTGTAATAGCCAGACTGGGGTCAAATTATGGTCAGGGCTGGGAGGTTCTGCAGGCCAGCCCCTCTGGAATTTCCCCCTGCTCTGGAGCTTTGGAGGAAGTCTCTAGAGGCAGTGGGTGGATCTGAGAAGTGGCTGGCTGCACTCTTGAGGGACCCCAGCCAATCCCCAACAGAAGGATTGGTAAGGGGATGGGACACCCTTAAAAGTGTTTAAGCCTGCTTAGTAGCAGAAGGGTTGGAGAAGAGTTGGAGGAGAGGTGCAGGTGGAAGATGGAAAAGTGAGGCTGAGATACAGGAGCCTGGGAGGGAGCCCAGGCTGGAAGGGGCTCACCTTCAGGCAGAGGGACCTTGAAAGGAAGAAAGCTGTGGACTTATCTGGTCCCCCTGAGAGAGGATCACCTGGCGGCAGGGAAAGAGCAGCCCAGCTGATAGGCCTTGTAGCAGCCACCTACACAACAGCAGCATAGGAGAAGGACTCAGTGAGTACTCCTACACTCCCTGGGCCAAAAAGGGGAGAGAGCATTTGGGTGGGAAACCTGACTAGCTCTACACCCAGCACTGTGGCAGCTTAGGACTCCATTGCCCAGGGATTTCTCCAGACAGCTGGATAAAGAAGAGGATTTATCTGGGGTCTGGGGTGGTATACCAGAAGAGGCTGGACAGCTCTCCTTGAAGAGATGTTCTGACTTTGGGACTTGTAATATAGTTTGTTTATAGAAGTTTGTCCTCAGTTACCATTCCCTTGGGCATCCCATACACTCCTAACCCCATCCAAGTTCTACGTCCCTAATAAAACTTCAAAACAAAGCTCAATGACTGGTTTTCTGTCTCCTGATAAAAGTCCAAATGGAAAATGTGTGCAGTGTGCTATGCAGGACCCAAATCTCTTGCAACTCCTAAGGGGGCAGTGCTACACTGCACTAAAAGTAATGCCATACCACTATAAACTCTACTGAAGCCTGATTGAAAGTAAAATTATCACCTACCCCCCCCCCCCTTATGCATTTATTGCAATAACGTTTGTTACATTAAACTGCAGGTTTCAGGAAACTGGAATGCTAAAGTTGTCAAAAGTACTGATTACTCTCCTCTTAATAAAAAAATGGGCTGGTCTCTCATAAACTAAATAAATGTGTAAAATGGCTAAAACTTAAATATTCCTTTAAAAACATTGTGTATTGGGTTTGTATCTACTGAATGGAAAAAGAAGTACCACTATTATCATTAAGAATCTGAAACACCAAAAATCATTATTATTTACATATTTACAATTCATCTAAATGTTAATACATTTTTAAATTATTTTTTTAAATATGTGGATAATAAAGATTTAAATTATAATTGCATATGTTCAGTTATATGAAATTATGTTAATAATATATATCTATAAATAATGCTAAAAGAAATCTATTGAAACTAGGTAATCCATGAGAGCAGAAGAAGGTTGGAACCCCTGTCTACAGTATATTATTACACACAGTAGTCATGAGTTAATGGAGATCAGTGTATAAATTGGAAATGCCATCTAAATTATATTGATAGGTACATAATGGGGAACATTTATTAATGAAATTATGTCTCAATGTTTACAAGTATCTGTTCATATACTCTTCAGCTATATTTTACATAAGCTTCATTGTTAAGAGCAGCTTTCTATCAATTTGGCCGAGACACCATCAGATGAAATATGACGCCATCTTGTTCTATTTATTTATATTATATACAGTTTTTGCTTATATACTTTTAGATGTTTCCCTGTTAGAAAGATCAGAGTAGGCATAGCTGCTCACCTTCTGTGAAATTGTGATCATGATACAGGATATCATTTCTCTGCTCTAGGATCTGGACCAGTGCAGCTTGGAGCTTGTGAGGTAAAATGTCATCTTCATCTGACAACTGTGAATTAAAAAAAAATGGTAAATACATTTCAAATTGTTCTTAGAAGTAGAATTTAAAGTACAGGTATATGGATACCAAAAAAAATCTGTTGTTTTGTATAAAATAGAGAAGGATTAGAACCCCTATCTTATTTTTTTTTTTTTGCTGTCTGTGTCCCCACTGGGTAGATTCACCCTTTTTTTTTTTTGTCCTGGTGACCATTGTTGCCAGAACAGAAAGTGGTGGATAATTCAAAATTTTAGAAATGTCATTAGAACTAAAAAGTAAAGGGGGAACACCTGTTCTGGTGAAAGACATTTCCTTTAACTTTAATCTCCAGACAAGAAGAGCAGGGAAATCTCCCTCACAGGAAACAGGCAGCAAAAAATAAAAATAAAATGAAAGGAACCTTCAACTTCTCCTTTTCAATCCAAACTTACAAAATGGCTATATATATATAACTTAACCTATTCCCACCGGGAGAACACATATATGCTGCCTCTCGACAGGGGGACTTTAACGCGGAGATGCTGAATATATGTGTCCCAAATGTAAACATTTCCACGCTCTGCTGTGCACGGTTTGGAACCAGAAAGCTCCCGATGCCTACTTGCGATCGGGAGCTCTCCGATCATGTGATCTCTGTGACAGCATATCATAGCGGTCACATGACTGGAAAGCTCGTCTCCACCTCCTGTCATTTAGAAGCTCTTATAGGGCTGGTAGGCAGCATCAGGAAGGGATTAATTAATATTTTTCATCAATATAAAATTAATGTATATACATAAGCTTATTTTTAGCTGTTACTCTTATCTCTTTTCTATTTCAATGCATTCCCAGTTAAACAGGTTAAACCTGTTAATGTGTCATTTAGGTGGCAACCTATAAGCAGATGTCCAAATGATAATCTTTATATGGGCAGGTCATGTTCAGGGACAAAAGAAAAACGTGCATTATGCACTCGGTGCTGTATGGAAAGGTGGAGAGGTTTGGAGGGAAGCCAGATGGTATATCTATGAAACGCCCACATTGTGGCAGAATGCCCCAAGCACCAGACTGAGTTGTCAGTTTGCTAACCAAATTGCACAAGTAATCACAGGGCAGTAACTAAAATTCACCTGAACTCAAGTGAATACAGATGACCTAAATGTGTACAATTGTCTAGTTCAAAAAAAGCATAGAGCATACACCTAGAGTGAGTATCACCGCCCATAAGTAACAGACTTATGGTCTATTTAGCAACAATCAATTAATATATATCTCATTCTCACACATCATATGAATAACATTAATAATAAGCAAGCCATTTAGAATGGGAAGAGTCTACATAAAGAGTAGAAAATTTCTCACCTGCTGAATGAACTTGTTGCCACAGAGATCGACTATTAAAACCTAGAAGAAAAAGATATGTTTTATACATATATGATAGGAGGTTTGGAACAAACCTATACACTGACTGGATATGATGATCTGTAAAAGTTGCAGTTTGTTTTGTAAGACTTTGAACAGAAACATAACCTACTATATAGCATTCAAGTAAACCTGTGTTCACTTTAACCTTCCTAAACTGCAAAGAACCAACATGGTTAAAACCTAGTAGAGCTCCCTTGGTCTTCCAACACCTGGGAGGATCAAATATGCAAAATAGTGACTTCCGTTTCTGCAGTTTTGTTTCAACCTAGCCCCCAAGTCCTGTGTCCATAAAAGTGATCAGTGAGGATGTCCATCACAAGGATGAATAGATAGTAAGATACAGGATAGGCAGCAGGACAGGGATGCAGAAGTACTTGTGGAGTGTGATATGGTATGTGATCATACAGTGCAGGCAATTGCTTGCTATAATGTGTCTGCCTGAATAGGTTAAGGGTGAACAAAAGTTTACATTAATATTATAGAGAATGCACCAGAAAGAGAGAAAATTAAAAAAATGGGGGGCAGCATGTAAATAGATGCTCAAATGCACCGATACCCGTTCATTATATTTATATAACAGTATCGTATTTGCTATTACAAGACTTGAAATGTAAGCGCTTACAAAATTAATTTTATTAATAGGGAAAAACACCAGTTTACTCACCTCTTCAATAGGGAGGTCACTTAGCAGAGGCAACGAACATGACAGAATACCAATAAGGAATGGAGTAGGAGAACACACAATGTCAATCATGGAAGCTGGAAGGACAGGGATGTAGGTGTGCTGCCAGGTGAATGGATAAAGCATGGCAACCACTGCATGAGCACATTTGGATAGTGTACTGCAGAGAAAAAAGTACATAAAAACAATAGTCTTAGAAATATATACTGTATAGATTTGTTCCCTGATATTATAAAAATTAATCTTAGTGCTCAAGGAAATGAAAAGATGGCAATGGGGAGGAAGATTATTACAAATATGTCACAAAAATGGTAAAAGTACAAAAAATAACCAAAGGAAAAAATGTACTAAAAAGTAAAAAAAAAAAACATAACTTTAAATTGCTCTTACCTAAGATTGTCAGCTACAAAGATAACCCGTCTCTCAAGTAGAAGAGAGGCAAAGACTTTAATAAGATGGCAAACACTGAGACACCTAAACAAGCAGTCAAAGTCTACATGTTCCAGGCGGGAGTCCATTGGCCGGCACAGCTCAATGACCTGCAGATTAGGAAAGGCATATAGATTCATTGTGAGCAGATATATAAATAAGGTTCCTAAATGTTTATTTCATGCAGTTTAACAGCTTTTTTGGAGAAATGTTAAAGAGTATATTTAGTTAAATTTAAAGAGACTTTTACTTTAGTCAATATTGCTGTGTTACAATCCCTATGTTCATTGTATTTTATATCTACTCTGTATAAAAGGGGTTGAAGTTTGTGGTGTAGCATACCATACTATGCATGAAATATCGCACTGAGACAAAAGGTTTTGTTACACTACTATTTATTTCTGGTTCTTTATTTCAGTACAATATTTTTGATCATTTGTATTGTTTATATAGTCAAGTGGTTGTAATTACAACAGGAAGTAATTTAATTTGAATATACTTGGTTATTATTCAAGGTGCCTGATGTAATGTTAATAATATATGTTTAAAAACTTGAAGACTGTGTGTTAGTTATTGTGGGACCTAATACAGTACATATTACTACATTTCACTTTAAATTTGACATGTAGGTTCATGGTATATATTGAAGACTTTGAAAGACTGACTAATCCATTTTAAGGTTGGCCATTCACAGACATCTCCCAGATTGTAATGAATCTACCCGCTCACTTGTGTGGCTAGACACATCACCACTGTTCCTTCAAGTTGGCCAACTTTCAAGGTGTGGTAGTGCAGAGTTCTATTTTCTGTATAAAAATAAGAATGAATTTTGAGAGTTTATTCCAAATGTTGAAAAGTGCCATGAAGAGCATTTCCAACATTTGTTTCACTCAATTTCTACTTTTACCAGTAAAAAATACTTTTCAAAATGGATGCTTAAATGAATGCATTAGATGTGCATTACCACAATGTATATGGCCAGCCTATCTAACCCAGTCAGGGGGCACACATATGGCTCAATCTGTTCAACTGACACAGCCAATCTGAGTATCACTTATAACTGTTGTAAGTTTTTCACATTATCACATGTATAGACTTCAAAACTTGATAGAAAATCTCTGTGAATGCAGGCATTTATCATCCCTCTTCTATGGAGAAAGGGAAACACAGCTGTGTACCACATCCGTAAATCAGCAGAGTTACGGGAACATCTCTTTGGGTCTAAGCAGAGCAGGGATGCAGCTGTGTTACTACCCATCTTCCTGTGTGAGAGATATATCTGCTTGTCAATAACTAACCATGAAGTAAATTGTATTAAAAAGGTAGATATACCTCATTTCCCGACCCTGGTAGAAAGCTCTTCACTGTTATGGTTCGTCCAGGTGCAGGGAATGGAGCTTCCATCACACTACGCACGCATAAATGGAGACACCAGAGCTGGAGACATTTCTCTCCTCTTTTCTACTTCATCTAAGATCTAATGGAAGTTGAGGAGAAAGATATTTTTATAAGCTTATAGAAAAAAATAGGACTAAATATTGTGATTTATGACTTTAAGACAAAAAATAGTTTTATAAGTTAAGGAAATTTGCATTTTGGAGCAGCCAGTTCATTATATCTCCTGCTTACATTTAGACCAGCGGTCACTAAATGGTGGCCCGCGAACGGTGCCAGCAGCGCTGCCAGCCTGCAATGACATCTGCCACTGAGCAGGGCGGTCACCATTGCAACATGATATCACGTGTGCGCCCACGCGCCTTTCAGCTCACTGTCTCTCCGGCTCTCGCTCCCTGCCTGTACACAAGTGTCCAGCAAGGATCCCGGAAAGCTCCTTCAAGGTAGGGTGTAGTCTTACAGGGGCACTCTGATGGGCAGATTGAATGTTAAGGGGCATTCTAATGGGCACAACATAGAATGTGCCCATCAGAGTGCCCCTTAACATAAAATGTGCCCATCAGCATGCCCCTCATTTTATGTTAAGGGGCACTCTGGGCACATTTTATGGGCACATTTTCTATGTTAAGGGGCACGCTGATGGGCACATTTTATGTTAAGGGGCACTCTGATGGGTCCATTTTATGTTAAGGGGGCACTCTGATGGGCACATTCTATGTTAAGGGGCACGCTGATGGGCACATTTTATGTTAAGGGGCACTCTGATGGGTCCATTTTATGTTAAGGGGGCACTCTGATGGGTACATACTGTGGAAAGGGACACTCTGATGGGCATGAGTGATGGAAAGGGGCCCTCTGATGGGCACATGTGATGGAAAGGGGCACTTTGATGGGCAATATGATGTAAAGGGGCACTCTGATGGGGAAATATGATAGAAAGGGGTACTTTGAGTGTAAGGGGACACTCTGACAGGAATACCTGATGTAAGGTGGCACTGTGATGGGGATACCTGATGTAAAGGGGCACTCTGATGGGGACAACTGATGTAAAGGAGCACTCTGATGGGCACACCTGATGTGATGGGAATACATGATGTAAAGGTGTGCTCTGATGGCGACACCTAATGTAAGGGGGCACGCTGATGGGCACACCCTATTCGGACCTCGGCCAGAAGAACATTTTAGTGACTGGACCTCCTTGAATTTTAATTCAATACCTCTGCTCTAGACAATCACCTTTCCATTAATAAATTAAAGTGCACTCAGTGATTTTGACATGAAAATAATGAAGTCTTGTTGAAAAAATGAAAACAAGCATTCAGAGGGTCCAGCAAATTTAATAAATAAGTACAGGATGGCACAGGTGTCCAAAGACAACAACTATTCTCCACTCTATCTAAATATTTTTTTTTGATTTTTTGTCTGTAATTGGGCCCTTAGTTTTATATTCACTTGAATTATAACACATGAACGTTTTACTGCAAATTTACCTAAGACTTACCTTAGAAAATAGGTTAAAAACAGCCCAGACGGCTTACTATGCAGTAAACTTCAGGCAGACGTTTCCCTTTACCTTGTGGCTAAAATAGAGGAGAGAAAAATTATTGCTTTCATGTTTGTTTATTTTCTTTGAAACAGCACCTAAAATAAAATTAAATTGGTAAATGCTAATGTGGACAATTGTATCACTTCATAATTACTGGCCCAGTTTTTTCTTGTTTTCTTAAGTGACTTTGTAAGCCTAAAAACATCTTATTCTTTAAAAATTGATTCTGTCTATCTATTGATTCTATTCTATCTCCTGCTCTACGAATACACTCAAGATCAATGAAATGCATTAGCAATCAAGGCTCAGGTGACTGGTCTTGTACTGGACCATTCATTACATCTTTAACTAATTTTTTTAAATTGAAGTGCGGCAATCTTTTCTTTTACTAACACTTAAAGTACCAATAGTTGTCAAAAAATACCTTACTTTACAGATTACGGTTCTATTTTAGACTACGTTTTTCTTAAATTTTAAAACATGCTGATCTCCATTTGCATGCAAAATGACCATACAATTACAATTTCTATATTTACTTCTATTTTTAATTTGCAGTTTTAATGTAAAAAAATTAAAATCAGTTCCTTGTCATAGGACCTATGACATTGTATTTGTCATGTGGACGTTTCTGCTCTGGTGGCTCTGCCTGAGCATTAGTCTCCTAAATTTCATCAGCAAAGATAATGTAACTGATGCCAATGGGACTGCAGTAGTGCCAAACATATCCATTTATAGCAAAAGGCACATTTTTCTATGTTAATATTAATTTAACAAATTAAGCAATGAACTCTGAATGCTGAAATACATGTTATTTCATTCCACTTTAGGTCCATTTTATTTGACTGTAAAGTAGGTTCTGAAACATTCACATAGAATTACCAAATGTTTTTTAGGACCTTTGGCTGACCATACACAAGGCGAACCTGTAAAAATTACAATCTGTTTTCAATTGAAAAGCTAATCAAATTGATTAGGCAACCCATAACTAACAATGATTGTTTTGCATTTTTGATAGCCACTGTGAATGGCATAAGGTTGAGCACAGATAGTGCTAGTAGGCAGTGAGCTACTACATGACTCAACAGCAAGCCAGCCATTCACTGAACAAGTTCGAATTGCAAAGTAATGGGACAGTACAAATTCAGGCTCCTTTTTAGACCGGTTTACACTAATGCAGTGTGGGACACTGCATGTAATTCGCACAGGAATTGCACTGCATTCCTGTGCGAATTACAAGCGATGACTGTGTGGTGCAATTTGAGTCATACATTTTGGCTCAAATCGCATCACATCCACACTTTTTGTTACCTGCACTTGAATCACATTGCATGGGTGTTCTCACCCATGTGATGTGATTTCTGCCAATCGCACTGCGTTTTGCAATCTGTTTCGGGTATCATTAATTTAACATTGACACCCGCACCAGATCGCGTGAACGCCATGCGATGCGGTATAGGAAACACACAGGATTCTCAGCGTTTTGTGCACTGCACGGTGAAAATTGTCTGTGCTCACTCTAACTACTCATTTTTAAATAATAGGAGCAGTTTCCAGGCATTTTTTATATTTAGAAAGTTCACTATGTTTCCCTATCAATTCTCACAAGACGCCAAGAAAACACACAATCTAATCATTTGTTAAACTGTAAGCCTCATATGAACCAACCTTTCCATTTTACCACAACCCCCCAGCCATAGAAGAAAGTGATTCTTACCAGAAGATTCCTACAATAGCCAAACCATCTGCTGCCATCTTCACCAGTCTGGGCTGTACTACGTACAAATGAAAAGGTTTCACTAAAACAAGACATTTTTGGAAGATTATTCAAACAATTCTTTTTTGCACTTATTTAAAAAATACAGTGAATATGCCGATATGTACAGGATAGTAAAGGGTATTAATTTTTTATGACTACCAACTACAAAAAAACCATCTGGTATTTCAAAGTATAAAAAGTTATAGATTCCAAAATGATTTCACCTCTTAAAATTTGATGCAGGAGCCCAGTCTTTTGAATCAGGGAAACAAAACTGTGGAATGACCTTTAACCTCTCCTCTGTGTCTTTGGATTGCTTCAGTGGGTGATCGTTCTGTTATGTCAAGACACATGAATTATATAAATAAAGATAACTGCAGGAAGTTAAATAGACTTTTCATTATTAATTATATCAGGATCCTTAATACTTTAAGGTAAGATTTTGTATTGTATCGTTGTATAGTAGAGCAGATACGGCTGCACAGAAAGATAATTAAACCTAAGAACAAAAATGCAATATATTACAGCTTACAGTCCTTAAACATGGTGGCTCCAATGGTTTTCTTTTTCTTTTAAAGTAAACTCAAAACCACAATTGTATTGCAGCTTACCAATTATTAGATGTGGTGGCTGCCTTTGTTTTCCTTTTTTTAGGCTTTTTTCTCTGTTTTCAACTGGTGATCTGGCTGGTAACACACCTCCTGTATTAAAGTGCCTACACTCTGGATGAATGAGCACAGGGGGCACCTTTGGGCAGAAGCATTGTTAGTCTGCGGGAAGGGAAGTGTTAAGTGTACTAGCAAATTTACATACACTAAGAAAGTCAAGCCAAACTCCACCTAAAACGTTATAATCAGTTACGACAACTGTTTTTTTCCTTTTGGGATGAGGGTTTTACATAAAAGCTGATCTCTGTAAGCACACCTGCCAGTGGTAAATGGTTTGCCTCATCCCTCCAACTGTTACATCTGCAATGAAGTTTGTACTTTTGAAAAACAGACTTCCTGGCCAGATCAACAGGTGAAAAAAAGGAAAAAAACCCTAAAGATGAAAACTAATACAGCCACCACATCTAAAAGTTGGTAAATTGCAATATAATAAATGTTAGCTTTTGGCTTTACCACTTTAAGATAAGAATGTATGCAGTCCATATTAGGAGAACAGTCTAGAGTTTCAACCATGGCTTTCTCCATAGCTACAGTGGAAACCTAAAACAAATGCAACCATCACACCAAGGACTAGTATGCTGCAAAATGTTACATTTTTGGTTTTGAGTTTAGATGCACTTTAGGTTAAGATGATCAGTCTGTCTGGCTGCATTCTCAGCTCCATGCAAACACTTTTTTGTGATTGCCGGACTTTAGGCAAGCATAATGTGGGAGAATTGTTTCTGTATGGATGCCCAACCCCTAGAACAAGTGTTCTTAACTGGGTTTCCATACTCCTTGGAGGTGTAGAAACCAAAGGAATAATTCAAAATAATTTGAAACAATGTTCTTTGGATTATTGAACTCAGTTCAAAGTAGATAAATCATCTCAAAACAAAAAGGAAAAAAACTCTTTAGTTGTAGCTAGCTTCTGTTTTTTTCGATTTGCCCTTTTTAAGTAATAGGATAAAACCCTTATTTTTTTCATCGGTTCTCTTCCTAGCACATTTATATATAAAGATAACCAAGTAATACGTAAGTGAGAATTTCAACCCAGCTATATTCAATTGGTTATAAAGACTCAAATACAAAGAGAGGTTTTCTCTTTTGTACTGTACAGTAATAGGACTGGTGAGAATTTTGACAGTCTGATGAATGGTGGTATAGGGAGATATTGGGTAATCCTTCAAGGGTCTGGAATCATAAAAAAGGTTAGGAAACCCTGTCTTAGGACTAGAGCCAGTTATGAACTGGCTCTAGTCCTAAGACAGGGTTTCCTAACCTTTTTTATGATTCCAGACCCTTGCTATAACGGGTTCTAGTCCTAAGACAGGGTTTCCTAACCTTTTTTTATGATATCAGACCCTTTATGGATTACCCAATATTATTATAATTATACAGTATTTATAAAGCGCCAATAGTTCGCTCAGCGCTGTACATTACAAAGGGGGACAGAACATGTGACAGAACAATACCAATACAATGCAAAACATGAGGGGGTTGAGGGCCCTGCTCTTTCGAGCTTACAATCTAGGAGGAAGGGGATGGTGGCACAGGAGGAGATAGCTGTGGGGGATGGGGTGGTAGGAAGAGTGGAGGAGGTCGGCAAGTTAGCAGGGGGTGGGGTAGGCTTCCTGAAGAGATGGGTTTTCAGGGTGCGCCTAAAGGAGAGGAGGGTAGGTGATAATCTGATGGGTTGGGGCAGGGAGTTCCAGAGGATGGGTAACACCTGGAGAAGTCCTGGAGGCGGGCATGGGAGGAGTAGACCAGGGAACTAGAGAGAAGGAGGTCTTGTGAGGAGCGGAGTGTGCGTGCTGGGCGGTACTTGGATATTAGGTCAGTGATGTAGTTCGGGGCAGTGTGGTGGACAGCTTTGTACGTCAGGGTTAGGATTTTGAATTTGATCCGTTGCGCAATCGGAAGCCAGTGGAGGGATTGGCAGAGGGGGGTGGCGGAGACAGAGTGGTTGGAAAGGTGAATGAGTCTGGCAGTCCGTATTCAGGATCGACTGAAGCGGGGACAGCCAGCGGCGAGGCAGGCCAGTGAGGAGGGAGTTGCAGTAGTCGAGTCGTGATATGATGAGGTATCTCCCTATACCACCATTCATATCATTCACCATTAGCCTATGCTGGTGCCAAAACATTTTGTTAATGAGAACTTAAAATGAAATACATGGAACTTTTAACACATGAATAATATGAAAATATTAAATAGCTAACAAAATCTTTACCTTACTGGGGTACTGCTGTGTTATATAGGGAACATAGGTATCTCCTGATGGCTTCTTTTGCAGGGAGACAACCACAAACAGCTCAAATAGTTGTTGTTCTTGGAGTTCGATAAGGTCCCGCTCCAAAGTCTGGTAGTGGGGGTTACGCTTCAGGGAATTCTGAACATGAGCCAAACGCTTGTTGTGTTCTGTATAAGACAATAATGAACATTGATTCAACTTCATTTCATGCTTATAGTTTTTTTGGGTTTTTTTTAACTAGCACAATGAAGCTTTCAATATTTTAAGCTATGCTGTCTTTTTTAAATCATAATGCTTTGATCAAACATCTCAGGACCCAAGGGAGTATAAACTTTATTTTTCTGCTCTCGGTTTCTTGTAAATCAGCTGTTGAGAAACAATGTTATGGGCGTCATGAGATTAGTAAAGATGGCCTAGGAGTCCTGCCCAGTCATCAAGTAAACACATGTTCCACCTTCTTGTCTATGATAACTAGGCTGGTCCATCAAGAAAGACAAGGTTTTCTGGATTTATAAAACCATTGTCTTGGTTAGTCTATTTTATTTTCATTAAAATAGATTGGTTCATTTCATTAATGGCCATTTTTCAAGTAAATTATGGGAAATCTGTGACAAAGCTGAATTTTCTGGGATTAAAAGGAAAGGGAGTGGTAGAGACTTCATATACAAGAGCTGACGAAAAATGCTATTCTGGTTCACACATAAATAGTATTTATTTTATTTTTAATTACAAAAAGGACAAGGCAAAATTTAATTAAAGAGGCTCTTGAGCCACACTAATTTTATCAGTATTACACACTGCCAGTACAAAATAGTAACTCCTCAACATAGCATCCTTATCTTGCTTACCACCTGTTCTCTAGCATGCACTGCTCCAGACATGGGCTGACTATCAAAGATATAGCTAGCTAATCATCAGCCCTGAGCTTGCCTTTTTCCTTGCTTGGCATAAGAAGATCCTGGCCCAAAACAATGCCCTTGTGCCACAATCTGACTTGTGGCATGGTCATGTAATTTAGTACCAGTGTTGTAGCCCAGCACTCAGATGGTTCATAATCATATGAACCACTAGCAGACTGGCTGTAAATTGGCTGACAGGCAAGAACGTTTTTGAACTCTAAATCAAATTTTAAGCACTGTCTAAGTAGAAAATAGGCAGAGGGGTCCCTAACATAAATCAGATAGTAAAACACTAATAGAGCAAGTGGCAGTTAACAAAAATATTACTCATATTTATATTCCATTAACATGAAAAAATATTTTCCAAAAAGTAAAACTGGTTGACAAGGCAAATGCTAAAAATATCCAGCCATAAAAGAAAAGGTAGAAATCTATCCAGGGACAAACGCTGCAGCATACTCCCAACAAATGTGCATCAATGCATATATTATAAATATTATTATGTAGAGAAAATATCTGTGGTGTCTATTGTATAAAAGGTAAACTTTTTTTTTTTTTCAAAAAACAGTTATGAAATTCTTTTTTGGTCTGTCACAGAAATGCTATGCTTTATACTCCTTCCTATGTACCCCAGGTTTTGTCTACAGCTTGTTGCATATGTTCTCCTTAAAAGAAATCCTAAGTAAGACCAGACCAGGCGTCCCCATTTAAGATTTCCCCTTTAATCCTGTTCTGGAGACAACTCAAAATTTTGGATTTGACTTCACTGTCAGTTCCAGTGACAGTGGTAACTAGATAAAAGAGAGGAAAAATGGGAACACAGATAGCAACAAATATCTGGCTAGGGTTCTAATTCTTCCCACTTGATCCAAAAGCAAAACAAATGCCTTGGCTTTAGATACAGTTTAAAAACATGCAGTTTTTGAGATTACACTTCCTTTTATATTACTTTGCTTACTTTTCTGACGATCTCTGCCTCACTTTCTGACTCACTTGCTTCTCCTGCAAAATAAGAAATGGTAACAATGATCGGTAAAGATAAAACATTGTTTAAATTTTCATCCTACCATATAATTTAGATTATTTTATTTTCAACTTTGTAAAAACAATATCAGCAGAGGATCATTTATTATCAATAGGGTAGAAACATAATTTTTTTTTTTTTTACAGAGAATGGTGTTAAAAATCCCATCTGTGAGCAAGTGGGCATTTCTTCAATGAACAAGGTCAATATGGCTTGTAAATAGCATTCAACGGCTCTACGTTGGTACTATGATGCTGTAAATCACACTTCATAGTGATACGGCAAGGATTAAATTAATGAAGAGACTTACCTTTGGATGAAGTTGTGTCTTGCCCATTAAATGTCTGGACTTTGACCTTCTTTTTTCCACGCTTTGTATCAAAGATATCTTGTATTTTCATTACCAGCTATGCAAAAAAAAAAAAAAAGATATATATATATATATATATATATATAGTACACACACACACACACATAAATATATAAATTCCAGATTGTACCAGGATACTGTCAAGCTACACAAAAGTACCAAAATACTACATTATCTATGGAGGAAACATGGTTGTCATCCTAGGCTGCTCTCTTGATCTGGACTACAAACACCTCTTCCTCACTATGTTCATTACATGGGATGGGGTGGGGAATTGGTAGCTTACAGAAGATAGCTTGGAGGGAATATAACATTATTTGAGGTCTATGTTTAATTCACAGAATGGGACAAGACCAAAATGTATTTTTCTGTACTTGCTGAAAAAGTTATTAGCCAAAAAAGAAAATGAATGCAGCCACGACATCGAAGGATGAGTAAGCTAAAATACATTACATTTTTATTCTTGGGTTTAAACATACGGTACTTAAAAACAAATGACACTGAACTGAAAGGTGATGCAAGTAACAATAAGATGAATTACATGCCAGTGACCAAGTGGCCATTGCTCTGAAGCTGTCATTTTTGCCTCTTATTTTGATTCTTTCTTGTTATAAAAAGATCACTCAAAAGAGAGTTCAGACTAATGTATTGCTTCTGGATGATAAGTGGTGAAGTCTTTTCCTGGCTGGAATGAAATTGGAAGCGTTGCTTTTTAAGCTGCCCATGTGTTTTTTATCCACAGGCTTCACATGTACTTAATGTCAGTAATATTAATACAAAGTAGTTACAAGGGGTCAGCAGTGCTCTGAGAGAAGTACAGGCGTACCTCGGTTTATGAATTTAATTCTTTCTGCAGGACTTTTCGTTTTGCAAAAAATTTGTAAACTGAAATGCAGTTTCCCATAGGAATGCATTGAAAACCAATTAATCTGTTCCGGAGGTCAGAAAAAAATCTGTTCAAAACTCTTTATACAGTGCACTTTAAAAGGCATAGTACTGTACAGGGACATGATTAAAAAAAAAATTTGTAAATGCATTGAAAACCAATTAATCCGTTCGAAAAAAATTTGTAAACCAAGCCATTATTTTCAATGGATTTTCATTCGTAAACTGAAAATTACGTTAACCGAGGCGTTCGTAAACCGAGGTATGCCTGTATTCCACACCCCTTTAAATAGGCTAGAACAGATACTAGGGTCTGGCAGAAGAGAAATGAATTTACTGTAGTAGAGGTCATACATGTTGCATCAATGAGATAACCAGTTGTGGCAGGAATGAAGCAGGAAGGATCTTTTGTGTGTTTCCTTCTTGAAAAAAAAAAAAACACTTCCTGAGCAGTTGACTTCATTTAGTTGACTTCATACTCACAAACACAAAATAAAAATCTATACTTTTACAGGGTGTTCCCAATGATCATACATGTTAGTTAATATGCAGAGTGCACTGTAAAAGACTTAAATGCTTTAAAGTATAACTAAAGGCAGAGGGGATTAGAACACCTCTTAGGGTTTTATTGCTGTCTGTGCCTCCGTTAGAGAAATACATCCTCTGTATTTGTGCTGTTTATCATTAGCATCAAAAGTGAAAGTAAAGAAACCCCCCAAATTTTGGGCTGTACCCAGAGAAGTAATAGAGGGGAACTTTTCCATTGGAGAAATCAGTTCTGGTGACTTAGGGGTCTCCAAGGAAGCCCCTCCATTTGCAGGAATTATCACTCACTTCCTGTTTTGGCTTTGGGACAGAAAGAGAAGATAGATCTCCCCAATGGGACACAGATGGCAAAGAATAAACTAACAGGGGTTATAACTCTCCCTTATTCTATCCAAAATTTTAAAAACAGTTTTCTTACAGTTCTTTAACCACTTGCCTACAGGGCACTTATACCCCCCTTCCTGCCCAGGCCAATTTCCAGCTTTCAGCGCTGTCACACTTTGAATGACAATTGCGTGGTCATGCAACACTGTACCCATATGACATTTTTATCATTTTTTTGAGACAGATAGAGATTTCTTTTGGTGGTATTTAATCACCTCTGAGATTTTTATTTTTTCTTAAACAAACCAAAAACCACTGAAAATTAAAAAAAAAAAAAAAGTTTTTTCTTTAGTTTTTGTTATACAATTTTGTAAATAAGTGATTTTTCTCCTTCACTGATGTGCGCTAATGAGGCTGCAGTGATGGGCAGTGATAGGCTGCACTGATGGACACTAATACGTGGCACTGATGGACACTGATGAGGAGGCACTGGTAGGTTGCACTGATGGGCATTGACCGCCATCACTGATGGGCACTGAAAGACAGCACTGATACATGACACTGATATATGGCACTGATAGGCAGCACTGACTGGCACTGATAGGCAGCACTGACTGGCACTGATAGGTGGCACTGACTGGCACTGATGGGTGACATTGAAAGGCAGCTCAGATGGGCACTGATATGTGGCATTGATGTGCACTGGTATGCACCGATATGTGGCATTAATGTGGCACTGGGCATGGGCACTGATGAGCACTGACTGCTGGCACTGATGGACACTGACAGGTCGCACTTCTGGGGCCACACTGATCATCAGGGCACACTGATCATCAGTGCCCTGATGATCCGTGTACATGTCCCCTCTGCGGAAAGCCGATTACCGGCTCTCCTCTCCTCTCGAGCTGTCAGCATGACAGCTCGAGAGGAGAGAAATGCCAATAACCGGCATTTCCGTGTTTACATGTGATCAGCTGTGATTGGACACAGCTGATCACATGATCGAGCCGACATCTCTCTTTCCGTGATCCGCTGTGTCCGAGGGACACAGCGCATCGGCGATCGCCGCACTGCGTGCTCCCTGAGCTGTGCATGCGCGGTGAGAATGGAAGGACGTCATATGACGTCCTCCCAGAACGAGAGAACAACCTTGCGCCCGTCATTGTACTATATGGCGGGTGAAAGGTGGCCAAAATGTGTAAAATAACGAAAAATGTTCCCTTATACATCCCTTAATAGTGAACATGAGAAATCTCGTTCATTCAAAATCCGAGGGGCAATAAGAAGATACTTTGTTTTTGCAGAGATTCCTGCCCATTAATTTTTCTGAAAGGAGAAGGGCAGTGAAAGGTCACATCTCTACTGCCACGGAACTGCCGTGTGCTTGGATAGTTGTGCACTTGCCTCTATTGATCTCAGAAAACACCAACAACAGCCAACAGAAATACAGTATGAGACTCAATTCACAAAGCTAACACACAAAGATCTTTATTTTAAAAAAAAGTGAGTTATTTTTATATGTGTGCTACGCGATTGTAAATGATGATCACAATGCTAAAATAAAAAGAATGTTACATCCTTCCCAACAGGACTACCGGTTTAATATTGTTAATTCACATATTTATGTCCACCCAGTGTTTTTATCTGATATGGATGACCTTGTTCATTCATGTTATCTAGCATATGTCTTCATGCAATGCCTTGCATTATTTTGTACCATGTCTTATAGTTTACAGGACGACTATGGGTCAATCTCTTATTCATCCTTTTGTTCCTTTGGATATGCTGTATGATCTTTAATCTTTGTAATAAAAAATATATTTAGTTTAAATATAAAGTGCGTTAAAGCTTTGTGAATTAAGTAATTGATCATTTATTATTCCATCTATTCTTTGACACTGGATTATTATTGACACTGGATTATTATTGACACTGGATTAATATTCTGAAGCATGGAGGAAGAATATGGAGGAAGAATATGAAGGAAGCATGGAGGAAAAACATGAAGAGGAAAAGTAATTCTGGCTTGGTAACATTTACAATAAGTGTTGAATTCTCTTTGTGTACTTTGTTGTTAGGCTTGTGCGTTTAACTTGGAATAATAATCCCTTTCATTTATTACTTTAGAAGATAATTATTATTGTAACAATGGAAAGTGTATAATTACAAAGTTTGTCTGGAGTATAAAGTATAAAAGATTGAATAATAAGTAGAAATTATTAAAAGGCGTTCCTTGTTTCCTTAGCTCTGAAAATCTGATTCAGCTTTGTCCTTGTTGGATTTTTTCTTTGTGCTGGTAATATTACAGCTTTAAGGCCTCATTCACACGCACTGACAAACCTGCGATTATATGCCTTTATTTCTAAAGGCATATAATGTTTTTGAATGGCATAATTCAGGCTATACGCTTAACTGCACTTAGGTGCATTCAGTTTAGCTGCGTTTAGAGAAAATAGAAAATATGTGTGTCCAGGGGAAGATTAGATATTTTGAATATTCCTACATGCATGCAAAATGCATGTAAACCAACGTAAAGGCAAAGCACATTAGAACTTGATCTGGGAAACAAAGTTTCTTTATATTTTCTGGATAAACTAGTGTGAATGTAGACCTAAATAATAGACAGTAAAGGAGGCTTAAAGTTACGATGCTGCCTGATAGTAAAGGTTACTAGCATGCTTCACTATGTATGTAAACAAATGTAATAGTGTACCTTAAAGAGTATCTAAAATAAAAAAAATTGAATGCATTTTTTGAAAGTGCACCACAATGCATGTACATGCATTGCTGCATGCTGTGCTGCAAGTTCATTACCAAGGTGCTCTGGAGTGCCATTCAGAATTAAATGGCACTGCACTCTGACAACAAAATTAATGCGTGTTGCAGTAAAGCATGCGGTAACGTGAATTACTGCAACAACATAATAGTGTGAGTAGTATATTAGTATATCATGTTGCATACTAGGGCATATAAACAGTAAAACCACAAATCCTACATACCCTGGGGAACTTCTTTTTCTTCTTTGCAGTCTCTCCTCCACTTCGGAACACTTTCCACTCCATCAATGTTACTGGTAAGGTAGAATCCTTTGCGGCCTTCTTGTGAATGTACAACTTGGTACTTTTCAGTTCCAAAGTTTGCCTTTTTAGAAAGTTTGTTCTTGATGGAATCTAAAAAAATATTTTGTAGTTTGTTTAATAATATGCAGGTGCCTAAAACAAAACATGCATAGAATATAAAAAGATACTAACATTTACCCTAGGTTCACATCTAGGCAGTTTCCGCAGCGTTTTGCAGAAACGCACTACAGTTCATTTAACATGATTTCCTATTGGGCATGTTCACATCTCCGCGTTTTCACCCGTTGCGTTTTTTGGAAAGGGTCGGGGACTTTTTTTGAATGAAAAAAGGTGCGTTGTTTGGTTCTATAGACTTCAATGGAAACGCTGCAGAAAAGGATGTAGTGTGTTTTTGCTGCATTTTGATCTGCCTAGCAGCATCAAAACTGCATGTGCAAAAAAAACACAAAACAGACCACAAAAAGCACTGCAGAAACAGATCAAATGCAAACTGCATAGGTGTGAACCTAGCCTTATAGGTGAAGTTGATCCAGGGAATATCCGATTGCCTCTCGGGGGGATCAGGAAGGAATTTTTTCCCCTGCAGAAGCAAATTGCATCATGCTTTCTTGGGTTTTTTTTGCCTTTCCCTGGATCAACTATGGGTATAGGATTGTATATATTGTATTATATTTTTTCTTCCCTTTTGATTGGTTGGACTTGTGTCGTTTTTCAACCAGACTATGTAACTAAACATCTTTACTATTTAACAAATTTTAATTCACTATTTTGTTATTTTTGTAGATCTACTTTTTTTTGTATGAAAACTTAATTATATGTGCAATTTAAATGTTAATGTAATGCAAAGGTGCACAATTGATATAATGTACTTTAACAATAGCTACCCAAGATTTAATCCACTAAAATATTTAGTGTGTGTGTGTGTATATATATATATATATATATATATATATATACACATATATACACACACACACACACATATATACACGCACTCACAGTATATATATATAATAAATAGTATATTCAGTAGCTAAGAACATATAATCTGAGACATTCATTCAAAGTGTGCATCCTAATCCTAAATGATGTGTGACATGACAATGCTCAGAACCCTTCCCTAATGTGTAGAGGGTGCAATTTTCATTTCTACAGGTGTAATGCTAATAAACTGACTCAATACTTGAGCTCCATGGCCACTGGGTGGAGTGCTTGTTACAAAAATTACACGTTAAGTCATTTAATGAAAACTCAAAAAATAGACCAACCTTGGGTGGTTTTATTGTACATCGTGGAGGTGGGATCTTCCATGTGGTTGGGACCCGCCATAATGGTACAGGAGATATTTTGATATCTTCATAAGGGTTCTCCTTCTGAGGATCTGAAGTAAACAAATTAATTCTTTGAGTGTTTCTTTTATCTTGGTGTTTTTCCAACTTATACTGAATGTGGATATATTTTGTAGCAAAAAGTTTAAAGCCCAAATCCAGTCTCAACCCTTCGCTCATAAGTTGCCCCCTTTCTCTGCCCTGAAGATCCTACTGCTATTTTTTATGTTTTTCTTTTTAAACATACTAACTTACTTTTTCCAAAGCCCTAAGTCTGGTCATAATGTTGCAAGACCTCTTCCTCTTATCCAGGCTAGAAGGTCCTTACTGATGCAGAGAACTCTCTGCACCAGCACACTATGAATGAAGGGCACCATGGTGACACCTCCTAAGGGTACATTTATAGCAGAATCCTCAATCTTCTGGGTTGTGGGACAATGTTTGTCATTCAAGTCGGGAGACTGAGAGAATCTTACAGCAAAGAAGAAGTTCTATGAGGGCAATTTTGAATTAAAGGTGAGTATTGCAGCATGAGGTGCTTTTGAAGAGTAATTTTACAAAGTCTTTACTCAGTATTTCCTTATTACATACAAATTATAAAGAGCAGTAAAAACCTTGCTGTGCTGTGGTTTATATTTACTTGCAGAATAAAATTCAGCTTAAACCAGTTAAACAAACTTTGCGAATAAGCTGTCAAAAGGTTTAGGTTTTAATAAGGCAGTGGAAAGACCACAAATTCATTTCTATTAAAGTTTAACATGTCATGGTGGCAACAACAGATACAGATACATGACTAAAATTATACATTTAAACATACTCTCAGACTTAGTGGAAACCTCAAGTTTTGGGCCCCCTGATATGCAGATTTTCAACAATACTTAGCAGTTTCATCTTCTATCCAGTTTCAGTTTTCAGTTTACTGAAGTCAAATTTCACCTGTCAGTAATGACAACTTTTCCAGAAAGTTGTCAGAAAATTGATGGCTGGCAGCCCCTTTCAAACTTATAAAACGGTTTCTAAATGCTTTAGGAGCCCTACCTGCACCTTCCTATTTCCCATCACTGTGATGTGTGGTCTTACACACCTGAAGAAGGATGCAATAGTGAGAGTGTCAAAAGTTGTTGACATTGGTCTTAGAAATTTTTTCAGTAAGAAGTAGCAGGTCACTGCACTACAGTGGATGGACAGATAACTCCATTCCTGTTGTTTGCAGACAGAAATCAGTCTGCCTATGACTACCTAAAGTGAAGTCTATGTAATAGATCCTTATGAGTCAATATGCTCTTCACATCATCCTAGTCTTGTGCACTGCCTTACTGAAGCCTGTATGAGCATACAGGATATGATTTCACCATAACATGACACTATTGGATTTGCAACACCTTCTCTTTGGTATACTGTGAGTTGGAAGGGAAAGGGTGCCTTTTTTGACACTTGTGATGTCAATAGACAGCTTGAATTTCCAGCCAATTTCCACTGAGTTGGCCAAATTCCAGCTGTGGATGGCCCTACAAGAATCAATTTAAAAATCGATTGAGCCAGGTAGAAATTTATCACATGCACTCACTATTCATCAGCACCACAACATACAGGCAGTCATTGATGCAGCCATTGCTGAATACAGTAGCAACCAGTGGAGGTTTCTCCATCCATGCTACTCAGCATGAATGGTAGAATCAGGAGAAAATGTGTTATACATGGTTATACATGGTCATCCTTAGACAAAGGGACTCAAAGATGCAGAAAATCCCCTTACAAAAACACATTTAAGATACTAGGCTATCACACAGAATTCTGTGGAATACCTACACATAATGTCCTCATAGATGTTGTCTTCAGACACTGTGTGATAGAGAGCAGATTGTGAGACTTCAATAGGCTCTTCAGAGATCTGAGGATGGTTTGTTTGTTGTATAAGACGTCTGTATGATTGAACATCTTCATATTCAAAGGATTTCCTAAAGACAAACAAATGCCATTAGATGAGCCACATCTTTCATATGTAGCATGGATTAAAAGGAAGCAGATGGAAAAGATGAAAAGATGAAACAGAGGTTTACACAGGAGCAGTTTATTTTGAAGACTTCTGCATGATACCCATATATCAGAAGTTTCTCTACCATAAAAAAAAAATTACTTATGGATATACTTACGTGCAATATTACATCCTTTCCAATCAACCCCTGTTTACTTTAGTTATGTATACATTTTTTTGACATTGCCATTCTATATGTACCCTTGCCATAGCATTGAAAGCCTAACTACTAAGGCAGTCTATGACATAATAGTTTATTTTACTGTAAGACACAACTAATATTTTCCAAATGATTGTACTAAAAAGGTCCGTCTTTAAATGAAGGCTGAAAAACCAGAACTGATATTTTAACCATTAGTGGATGTAATCCAAATAGTTCAAGCACTGAGTCTCTAGAGTATACACCTTGGGAATATAAGCGGGCATATTTACACACACTTTAAATTCCACCCACCTACCATGGTGCACTACCTCGAGCAAATTACTCTTACCCTTAGATTTATTTTATAGAAAAACGGGGCTATACCCCAAACGCTTGTCATGGAATTTAATAGATAGTGCAAAACGTATGATAAACAGTACTCAATGGTTTTAAATAATACATAATAAGACAGGAATGAAGTACCCTAACTTGCATTATAATAGCAATAACAACATGTAGAAAATTAGGGAAATCTGGCTGAAGGATCTCTGCTGATATTTTACAGACATTGATTGATTGGCAATGGAAATTTACTTAAAGCTGAGTATACATGCATAGTTTATTTCATTCAGCTGGTAGACTAAATGGAAAAAAAAAAAAACCCAAATGTATTCCCCTATCCACACAAGCAAGGTGGATGGAGGAATCATCCCCACTGTGCTATTGTATTCTGACAGTGGGACTCCTCCATTGTCCAGAGTGGTCATAAATCTGTTGGATAGTGATTTAGAAAATTGAGGTCCAAATTTAGTGACAAATAGAATTATCATTCTTAGTTCAAAAGTTTTCCTTTCCTGTGTATTTTGTAAGTCCCTTTGCAAAATGAATAGTCTATTTGCCTTTAGTAAATCAACCCCAGTCAGTATACTGAGGTGATCAAAAACAGACATAAAAAACTTATTTGGGCATGGCCTATAACAGCAACTCATATAGTATAATTGTGAGGGTTTTTTTATACATACAAGTTATGAGCTTTCATGTACTTTCCTAGAACAGAGTCAGCATTGTCAGTCTGAATAGAAATGCTGACAGAATACATTAATTTATATGGTTTTGGCTGTCAAAAGTGACATGGTTTTTAAACAGCCTCTTATTATCTTTAAAAAAAAATCAGTAATCACACAGTCTAAGACAAACTATTATCATATATACTTTTTACATAATTTTAGTGACACATTGATATAAAAAAAAACACGTTTCTAAAGGAATGACCCCTCCATGTTGCCCTTGGGGCCATTCCATTCATTCTTACCCTTGTCCCAAAGACCTCAGAAAGAGTCAGGTCCTGCTTGATCTGCTATATGACTTCATGGAAGGCACATGTGCAAAAGCTTGGAACGCCTGATTTACATGACCACCATCTACATGATCATTCAGGTGGCAAGTATGGCTTCTGAGGTTCATGGGGAAAAAAAATGGCAAATTGGCAGAGTGGCCCTCCATTTGCTCTCACACTGAGAAACTGATCTGAATGAAAGCATAATCTACCATTAGAAGCATGATACTAGTTAGAGCTAGTATATTTTTAGAGAGTATTCTTTCTTTAAGCCTAGAATCCTACTAAAATGTTAGTAATACTTTTCACAAATCTCAAACCTGATATATTAGGGGGAAAAAAGAAAACATATCATACTCTGGATAATCTAAATATTTTTCTCTCAACTGCAAAAACAACAATACAGTTATGATAATTTTGCTACTTTAATGACCATTTTAACAACATAAGCAAAAAAAAAAAAAAAAAAAAAAAAAAAATACAAACGCTTTAATCAGGTCCATAGTTCTAATGTTTGTAGAAATACTCAGAACAGAATAAAAAATATAGCAGATTCTTATTATGTTGTAAAAATAATGTAGCATTTTTGGACAAGTTCAGATAATAGGTTTCAGGCCTGTACTACGAACAGTTCCCTTACTTTGTCATTTTTAGCCTTATAAATATCTTATAAAAGCACCAGTTTAGGGGATAAAGAGGGGGCATTCATCTTATGGATCTTATACAGTTAGTGGATGTTATGAATGCAAATAATTTTTGTTCCTGAAAGAGGATTTTGTTTTTGAGGGGAAAGAATCCTCCTATTTGGATTTAGATCTAATTAACCTAACGTGACCCTGTCACCACACCTTTCATTTCAACAAAAATCTTCCCACAAGACAATATGTACATTCAACATATTTTACACGTTATTTACTTGTTAAAGTGATACTAAAGTTTAGTTGTTTTCTAAATACCGAACATGTGTTACTTTACTTACCTGCTGTGTGCAGTGATTTTGCACAAAGCAGCCCAGATTCTCCTTTTCTCGAGTCCCCCGCCAGCTCTCCTTGACCAGTCCATAAGACACATTGAGCCGCAGCTCGGTCCTGCCCCCTCGCTCTCTCCTCACTGGTTGTGATTGACAGCAGTGGGAGCTAATGACTCCTGCTGCTGTGTCTCTGCCAATGAGGAACGGGAGACCTGGGAGACTCAAGGCTCCCGTACACATCGCTGGATCGAGATGGGGCTCAGGTAAATATTGAGGGAGGCTGTGGGGAGAGCATGAAGATAAGAAACCTTCAGCTCTTAGAACCACTTTAAAGCCTCCCCCATTTAGACATGCAAAGGCCCCCAAACTGCTGTTGGACTGCCATCTTGGATAGGATGTCAGCAGCCTCAAAGCTGTTACTCAACTGACACTCTATATTATTCCTCTTTGCCCTGACTCCCAGCAACTACAAAAAGGTTGTGTAGGGAGGTGAAAAAGGGAAAGAGGGCCACGGATACCACAGAGAGTAATTAGACACTCCAAAAGAGGAGAAGACTATGACATGCAAACAGGGACAGGGCTGTGCTAGAGGATTGACTAGTCAATTTTTTTAGCAAGTTCAAAAGCACATTGCATGTGAATAAAATCATTTATGGGAGAAAACGCTACAAGGAAGCATTTAGAATTGTTGCTTTTTCTGTGCTTTTACCTGCATTTTTTAAGTCGGTAACAGGGTCTGAAGCAGTAATGTCTGCGGGAGACATTATTGACCATATTGTTGGGGGAATTGAACAATTTTCTTCGGGTGGAAGGAAAAGAAATCAAACCATCTATGGGCTGCCTTATTGAAGAGACAGTAATTTTACCCCCATGGATTGCCCCATCTTTGGATGATAATATAAAACAAAATGGGATTATTTCCAAAATTGTACGGTTTGGGGGTATTCTGGTGGAATAATACAACAAACAATTAAAAAAAAAAAAAAAAAGATAAAGGTACTTCATGTAATTATTATAATTTTTCTCTAAAGGACTAAAATCAAAAGAAAAAAAATCCACCAACCTTTTTGATCTTGGTCTCAGTTTCCTGTTTGCATGTTTCTTTGGCTCAGAAGGTGGAATGGAAGGATCAGATGACTCTGTGTCACTTTCATCTACAGACTTTCTCCTCCTGTGTTTACTGTCCATATGTCTTTCTGGGAGATTACAGTTGGCATAGCGAAATGTTCTTCGTGGCTTAGGTACAGGGTTTATAAATGGACTATCATTGAGTGACTCTGTATCATCATAATAGTTATCTTCTATGTTCTTCATAGCAATGCTTTGATCTGACAGACATTGCAAATCAAGTTCATTTTCTATTGAAATGCTCTTAGCTCTTCTTTGTTTAAATTTTAAAGCCATTTCTCTTAAATCCTCAGCAATCAAATTCCTTTTTTTAAACATTTCTGGAGAAGTGTAAAAATTTCCTGGAGGAAGGTCCATTTCAGAATCTAAAAATGAACTCTTTTTTTTACTAAAGTATGGTGGGCTTTCTAGCTGGTCCTCATAAATATTTTCTTTATGGTATGCTTTGTTGTTTTCATCATCTAACAAGTTGTCTCTGCTACCTTCCCTGAAATCCAGGCCCATGTTCTTGTCATGATTTGCTGCTGGCTTTCTGTTATCCAGTATATTTTCTGTTGATTTTGTATTTCCATTTTGTTCAGTGAAAGTTTGCCTGGGTTTTATATCCAGGAGGTTTCCACAGGAGCCACTGCTGGCCCTGCATTCCCACTGGGAGATCTTCTGCTTGATATTTTTGCAGTGACTCCTTGACATTGTCTGTTGAGAAGATCGGGTTAAGCCACATTCTGGGCTTCCCACAGTATGCATGACAGGCATCTTCGTAGTCATACAAGCCTCATAGTTGATTAGACAATTGAGCGAATGGCTTAGATCTAAAAAAAGAATGACCTTGTGGCCTATCCGTGTGTTCAAAATCTCCACTGTCCTTCCAATGAGTTATTAAATTAAAAAATAATATTGTAATCAATTTGTTTTAAAACTGGCTGTCCTGTGTTTTTTACCTAAAAGGCCTTCTACAAACAATTATAGGATACTCCAATGTGACTTGATGCATGGGCTTCTAAAATACATCTGAGGAGCAAAGAAGAGTCCTGTACATGGATGTCTTCCATTCAGTGTTAGAGCTAGAAAACAAAAGCATCTGGTTACAATAAGTCTTACAGAAAAGGCTCCTCTAGAAGTAACAATAACTGCAGTGTTCCAGAGCAAGGGAAAGACGTCAAGTTCAACAGATTGTGAAGGACACAAATTGAAAAATGAAAGGAAAAAAAAAACACATTGTAGAAACAAGAACATTGACTGTTAGAAGGACGTGAACTATTAGAACACATCCTTGGTCTGTTTATTGTGTTTATATGTGTGTAGAGAAATTAATGCATTTATGTTTGAGTAATGTTTTATTTATAAGCTCTAACTATATGAACAATTACTGGCACCACTTTAGTACTTCCATACTTTAAAATATAATGGCTAATTGGTAAGGCATTGTGAGTTAAAACCGAAAAAGGTATCAAACCAAAGAAATATATACACATACTTGCTGGTGGATGCTTGCCTTATTTCACATTAAAAAAGCCTGATGTAGTACATCAACATGTAGTGCATCAATGCTACCTTCCACAATGCAGTAGTAGACACGGCAGCACAAAAGCAGGGGGAGACAGGTGCAACTGTCCCCCTCTACCCCTCATCCACCCATCTGAGAAGCACTAATGCTCATTCTAGCATTAATGCGCCTCTTCTATTTTTGCATGAAAGTTGATGCTCACTCAGTAAAATATGTCTCAGTATATAATTGATAACAGGATATTATTTAGCAGTAAAGCAGCAGTAAATGAGCAGGACCCTCCTAACCCTCTTGTATTGAACTGTATCATTGCTGTATTGTCTCCCATTATATTGTAAAGCGCTGAGCAAACTGTTGGCGCCATATAAATCCTGTATAATAATAATAATAAATGAGCTATCAGGTTTTATAAGTCTGGCTGGAGTTTTAAGCTAGTGGAGGTTCCACCTTGAGGGCTCATGCACACATGTGCTTTTTGGGATACAGCATAAACTGCAGGCGTATGTCTGAGCACGGGATACACAGCTCCTGCGTACAGCAAACCATAATAATGATTGTCTATACGCGGCTGTACATGTGTTTATGCCGCTACTTGTGTAAACCAGCTTATGTATGAAGCTGTATGCCCCTGGACGCAGATTACCTTCCTTTAGATTGTAAGCTCCATGAGCAGGGCCCTCATATTCCTTCTGTACTGAAATGTATAATAATTGTACTGTCTCCCGTTATATTGTAAAGTACTGCACAAACTGTTGGCGCTATATAAATCCTGTATAATAATAATTACCTACATCCAAGGTTGTACACTTGTACCCATGCATGGGTTTACACAAGTGAAGGCTTAAATCCATGGACAGCAGCATAGTAATTCCTTATAATGGTCAGTTGTATCCAAAAAATGAGCCCTAATAATTATTTTCATTGTATAAACTACTGAAAAAAAAAGAACTTCCTTAGAGTGATGAAATAAATCTTGAATACCAATCTATATGCAGGCAACGCTTGGTCTGACATGCAGAAACCTGTTATTTCACAAACACGGTCATTACATTTTTAAACATAAAAAAACTACCGGTACATATCTTTGAATTTATACTGTTAAAACACGACAGATGGCTGCAATTATAATTTCTAAATGCACAACTACATAGACTGCTAACCAATGTCTGTGAGTAATAACAGGGTCTGATCCCACTGAGGATATGAGTAGCAGGAAGAAAGGTTGGAGTATGAACAGAAGATATTTTCCCTCTGCTTCCTGCAGTGTTAGCAGCACCCACACCCTAAAATAGTTTCAATAAACTGCTTTCCTGGCATTACGAGACAAAAAGGTCTGAACGTGTCAGCTCAGCTTTTCTTTCCTAAATGCAAGAGAATTTCTCTACCACAGGAAAATGTGTTTGGCAGTTGTGAATCCTACTGACAGGGATCAAAGAGCCGTTGTCATTAAAACTGCGTGATTAAGTTTCACTACTTTATTACAACACAAATAATAACTAGTGGAGGTTACTGTGAGCAGTATTTCAACAACAGGATGAATTAAGTGTATCGAAAGCCTAAACCTTTTGTTTTTCATTTTGGATATCATAGGAAATGGTAAAACCACTATCTCTCTATTTTTTTGCCACCATTGGGGAGATTTCTCTTCATTTCTTGTCCTGTAGACACAACAGGAAGTATGAGGAAATCTCTTCAAAGCAAGGAAAACACCCTCTTAAGCTGGCTATAGACTGATTGAACTGGCTGGACTGTCCAAATTTGATTAATCTATGGCTGTTCTCATTTGTGAGAAGTCGATCAAATGATTGATTCCTTACAAATGGGAATGTTTGTGTTCAATCAGCACTGCAGTCAATTTATCAGTGTATTCTGACAGAGGAGGATTTCCACAGTCTGAATACAATAGAGTAGCAGGAGGATTCCTCCATCCACCTCTCTTGTGCAGATGGGGGAATCCTTTCAGTTTTTTTTCGATAAGCCTGCTGGCTGATTGAAAAAAAACTGAACCATGAATGTCCAGCTTTAGATATTTCAAACAAAAGTGACAAAAAAGGAGATGGATGCAGTTTTTAAGAGGGCACACTGGCTCTGGTTTGACAGTGCTCAACAAAATAGGGACACCCCCCAAAACCAGGGGAAAACCCAGAGTTGAGAATCCACATGTAGACAGTCCAAGGACAGCCAAACTAACATCCAAGAGTTCAAAGCTTTTAAGGATATAATTTGTTCACAGCAGAAAAAAAAGTCAATATGACTATTAATATCACAACTCAGGTTAAATGGAATCAGATAGGTAGATACCACAGAGATCTGTGGTTTTCTGTTTTGAATGGTTTCATAATGGGGCTGTTAATGACAGTGTAGTGCAGAAAAGGTTTGGCATAACTGGCCCCTTTTTTTAAACAGTTCCAATCAGAAAACCACAAGTCTATATGGCATTTTCAGATCTTACTGCTGGTTACTTCATGCTTTCCATTGATTTCACTTAGCTATGCCGGAGTCATTCAAACTGTGCTAAAATCTGCTCTACATTACTGCCCAAATATGAAAAATAAAGAATACTGATTATTTTTTATTCACATTATACAAGTTGTAGAGTTAAAGAAATCCTTTATGGAGAAAATATGAAAGCTGCCAGTGCCTTCTGAATACAAATTGCCTTAAAGCGGAGCTCCAACAAAAAGGTCACATTCCGCTTTAAGGACTGCTCCTCCCCTCCCCATTAAGGATTGGCACCTTTAGGGGGTGGTTATCCAAATTTGACAGGTACCCGCTCCCACTTCCAGTCCGATCGCCTAGGAGATCGGAAACGGAAGGTGTCCTCCCTCACTCCCTCCCTGTAGTCTTTTGGGACACGTGACAGGTCCCAGAAGACTACAGGACCATTCATGAAGCGCAGCACTACTCACGTATGACAGTGGGTACCCAGCTGTGAAGCCGCAAGCTATCACAGCCAGGTGCCCACACTGAAGATGCCCATCCGCACAATGAATGTGGATGGGGGAATCATTCCCGCTGTGCTGTTGTGTTCTGACAGAGGCGAGCCTTCCTCCGCCATCAGAATACAATAATCAGTGTTGCCGGCTATAGCCAGCGGCACTGTTCTTCAAATAAAAAAAACAAGGTCAATGGATAGATCGTCTTCTGCACAACCAACCTGCACCTGCAACCTGCAGCCTTGCTGAACCAGCCAAATTTAAATCCATGTATTGCCACCCTTACTGTATTGCTAGGTTAGCAATTAGCTACATTTCTCAAGTTAATAATGTTTCCTTTGTTTTCCTTGTTCATTTTTTATATTATTAGACTGTGTCAGCCAGGCAACTCTGCTGCTAGCAATCCTGTCACCAACAACCTGAGAAAATCATCAGTGGCAGGGTCACGAAGAAGCTGCTTTTCTGTCCCTGTGGAATCGTTCTCTCTATAGCTGAGGCAGCAAGATGTCACTCCC